ACATGATGTCAACGGGAGTGATGCCGCATGCCATCCATTTTAATCATAAGTTTGTATCAACTGGTTGAAGTCAAGATTGCCATGGTCACCTAGCAAAATATCAAAGAGAACCATTCCCAACAAGATAAATTTGTACGTATTTTTCAACAAAAGAAATATAAGTCAATCCTTAAGCTCGCATAGTTGGTACATATTTCTGCAGCTCCTGGACAAAGTGATAACACTTTATTTTTCCAAATCATCAGATGCTTAATGTTCCCCGCTACATTTTTAATGCCTTGATGTGGACTGTGAAGCAGAATCTGATGTTCAGACTACTACTGTTGACAGCATCCTGTGGATACTCACAAAGTTTCATAAACATGAGTTTAAATACTCGGCATTGCGTTCCTTAGCTTCTAGTGTAAAGACAGAAAAATCATATCCCTTTTCATATCCACACAATTTCATATTTTTAACCGGTCTTTCATTTTCCAAGGAGTGGATACTACCACATCTATAATGGAAAACCAATTAAAATTATCATTAACTAGATCGCAATGCATTATGCATTCTATAAATTCCTTACATTCTTGTAAAACTCCTGACAAAGAGAATGATTGATGGTACAAAACATCATAAACATGTATAAGGCAAGGAACAAATTTTGACTAGTGAACCGTAAGAGTACAGATTTCACACGCTACGTCACTCGCAATTACCAAATTGTAATAAACAAGAGATATTGATAAACAACTAAAGGAAAAGTTGCCAGTAAATATGCTATATATTACTTACACCAGGAGATAGATCGTATCCGATGGCGTTAGTTCCTACTCCAGACAACAGCAACAGCGGATGGTTCCTTGGAGGAGCCTAGAAAGTACATATTGAATAAATAGAATATCAGAATTTAGAGATTAAAAACACAATCCACAGAGAGAGAGAGAGAGAGAGATAACGGAGTGAGACCTGAGGAGGAGGGTTGTAACGCCAGAGAGCGACACGCCAATCGCAATTTGACACAGAAACGTAGTGGAGCTCGTCGGCGGTACAAATCGGCGGTTTGTCCGGGATCCTAACAGAGTCTTCGGTGGAGTAAGCTCTAAGCCGAAACGGCGGCGAAGCAGGAGGAGGCAGCCGCCTGAGGTGATGAAAAGGCGAGGTGGCGCGTACGGGACGGAGGGAACGGAATGTGGAGGATGCGACGAGGATGGCGGAGCGGATATCGGATTGGATATGGACGTGGATATGGATTGCTGTAGCCATTTCTTCTGCTCAGAGCATGGGCTCTTGCGTCGAAAATTTAAAGCTTCTTCGTCTTCGCTTGAAGAAATGTTGACGCTCCTTTTGTCAGTCTCCGAAAAAGGTTGGGTGGTTCGATGGCTACGTGAACCGGCTCATGTTGTGACAGCGATGTTGGGCAGAACTGTAAAAACGTGGGAAGGAGATGATGATTTTAATTTATATATTTTCGCATTTTACTTTTAGAATTTTCAAATATAAAAAATAATTAAAAATAAATACCATTTTAAAAATGTACAGCAATAATAATTAATAATTAATACTACACTAAATTTTATACTTAAAACCATTAAAATAAAAAATAAAATATAAAATATAAAACATAAAACATAATTTTTAATTTTATTTAGTTTTACTATTTATTAATTTTTAATTAATAAATTAAAAATTTTGGTCTAGTCCTCGGTCTAAACCTTCACATTTGATCGGTTATTGATCCGGTCCGATTCTTCCGGTCGGAACCGGTTCTCAACCGTGAAGGCCCATTAACGATTGAACCAAGCTCCCAGCCCATTTTACCTACTTCTATTACTGTGAAAGCCCATTAACAGACTTACAAACTTCAAACTCCACTTTCTCCCTCAAGAGTCCAGCACCTTTCTACTGCGTCTCCCTTTTACCTTCGACTTCCAGCACGGAGCTCAAACTCCGTTAGTCCGGCGGCAATTCTAATTATACGACGGCCATGGTTGGCGAAGCTGAAGTGAAGCAAGTATTTATAGGAGCAGGATGCAATAGAGTAGTCAACAACGTTTCATGGGGAGCCTGTGATTTAGTCGCCTTTGGCGCCCAAAACGCCGTCGCCATCTTCTGTCCCAAGGTCCTCACTTCACCTTCTTTTTTCATTTCAGTTTTATGACTCTGTAATCTGCCTCATCTTACCAACAAATATTTGTTTTTTTTTTTTCTATTTGCAGACTGCACAGATCCTGACCACGCTTCCTGGTCACAAGGCAGCTGTTAACTGCACTCATTGGCTGCCCAGCGCCAAATTTGCTTTTAAAGGTTCAATTCTTTTTCTTTTGTTCCGTTAATTTTTTTCTTCAAGTAAGAACTTGTTAATTTTTAATAGCATGAAAGTTTAAGCATTTTGCATATTACATTTTAGAACCAGACTTTTCAAAGCTTGTTTCCCTGTTTGTTTCCACAAAATTGTAAGGAGCAAGGGAAAGATATTAGATTTTTTTTTTAATTATCAGATTTTCCTGTTATATAGGAGATACTCACGTGGTGCTCTTAATGACTCTATATATGTATATGTATATAGATTTGTATGTTTCCATAGTTATATTAGCTCCTCACTTGGTGCTCTTAATGACTATATATCTATGTATATGTGTGTATATTTGTATATTTCCATAGTTATATCAGCTACCAAGTGAATGATAAATGATGGCCCAAGCCTTTGGGGCTCGTTGGCATGTCATCTCCTTTATGGAGCAAAATGGTTAGGGGTTCTACCCGCATTACAAGTTCTATGGTGCTAATGAGGCGAAAAAAAAGTGAATAGTAAATGATGTAAAGCAAGCCTACTTCCATTTCTTCTTCATTATTTCATATTGTTTTGAGACTTTGGAGGTAGCATATAACAAGTAGAGAAAGTAGGGTATGGTTGGATTATTGGGTAGTAATGAATTGTGTCATCTGTTTCCAGCTAAACATGTAGAGAGGCATTATCTGCTATCAGGAGATGCCGAGGGCTTAATCATTTTATGGGAATTATCTCTTAGTGACGGAAAGGTACTATTTCTCCTGGTATAACTTATTAATATGCTGAGAAACCTACATCCTTTTGTTATTAGGATAAGCACATTAAACAAGAGATTCGATTTTGTTTTTCTGTTGTTTCATATGATAATTAACTATTGTCATCTCTTTTGTTAACTGGTGTGCTAGAAATAAGATTCATATTCCTGCCAATGCCGGTGGAAGATTTTGGATTCCCGTTTTTCTATCAGTGATTTATCTGCCGTTTGTTTTTTAAATTATTTTTGGTATCTATTTAAAAAAATATTTTTCATATCATTTATCTTCTTTTTTCTTTTTTGTTAACAGTGGAGACTTGTCCAGCAATTACCACAATCACATAAGAAAGGTGTCACATGTATTACGGGGATTATGGTTTCTGAAACTAATGCTATATTTGCTTCAACTTCTTCTGATGGCATTGTAAATATGTGGGATGTGGATTTTCCATCTATCTCTGGTGGTGAGTAAAATTTTTAGGAGATTTGATTATTGCCTTTTCGCTCACTTGGATTTTTTTTTGGTTGTTTGTGGCATAATGATTCACTTGAACAACCTTTTCCCTCTCTTGTTGTTTATATAAAAAATTTAGCATGTATTTTCTCTATAAAAAATATTTTCTGGGAGCAGTTACCTGAATAATTTCCAAATCAATTTTTCGTCATGGAAAATCAGATGATTTCCCTTTTTGGTTAGTTAGGTTGGCTGTGTGTAGAATTAGTCAGGTCATGATCTTTTTAGAAGATGAAGACCATAATAACTATGCTGAGAACAAGCCAAATAATCAATAGGTTATGAATTCTGCTTTGAAATAATCATAGATTATTAGATGTTGGTTATGATTGTGCTTCTTCTAGCTGGTAGTTGTCAACATCTAATTCAACTGTGATATTGAGTTAGTAAAAGTAACTATGCTTATACCAAATATCTGACTTATAGTTAATGGTTATAATTAATGTTCTGTTTCATTGTGCTTAGGTGAATGTAAACTGTCATGCCTTGAATCTCTTTTTGTTGGTTCCAAACCAATGGTGGCACTAGCCTTAGCAGAATTGCCTTACAGTACTGGACATTTGGTCCTGGCAATGGGTGGATTGGATAGCAAAATTCAACTTTACTGTGGGGAGAGGACAGGAAAGGTATCTAACCTATAGTTCATATAGATCACCTATAATTTTCTATCCAGAAATGTCTCATGCATTCTGTAATTTGTTTTTGTACTTCCAGTTTGTTAGTGCTTGTGAATTAAAAGGACATACGGATTGGATCCGGAGTTTGGACTTCTCACTACCTACATGCACAAGTGGTGAAACAAACAGTCTTCTACTTGTAAGCTCATCTCAGGACAAAGGCATACGTATTTGGAAAATGGCTTTACGAGATTGTCTAGTTAATGGACAGGGTGCTTACAAAAAAGAGGAAATAACCTTGGCTTCTTATATTAAAGGTCCAGTGCTTGTATCTGGGCCATGCTCTTATCAGATATCTTTGGAGTCACTTTTAATTGGACATGAGGATTGGGTATACTCTGTAGAGTGGCAACCACCTTTAGCTGCTGATGTAGAAGGAAGTCCCTACTATCAACCTCAAAGCATCTTATCTGCATCAATGGATAAGACGATGATGATCTGGAAACCTGAAAAAAAATCTGGTATCTGGATGAATGTGGTTACTGTTGGGGAACTAAGTCATTGTGCTTTAGGGTTTTATGGTGGTCACTGGAGCCCAGATGGATTGTCAATTCTGGCACATGGATATGGCGGGTCATTCCATCTCTGGAAAAATGTTGGTGTTGATTTTGATGATTGGAAACCTCAAAAAGTTCCTTCCGGGCATTTTGCAGCCGTGACAGATGTTGCATGGGGAAGGTCCAGTGACTACATTCTGTCAGTCAGTCATGATCAGGTATTATGTTGCATAAGTAAACAGTTTCCTGAAAATCCATTCCTATTACTGTTCTTAGAATAGTTGAATTTTTTAGGTCCTAGTTTTGTGTGCGTTAAATTTCTTTACTGCACTATAAATTTCTGGAAGTTCTATAGGCTGACTATGTAACCTTACGAGCTTCAGAGATCAGGGCGTCTTGGGAACTAAGTACCACTTAATAAAATTTTGAATGTAAACATGGGGGAACACTCTGGCAAGAA